ATAGTTTGTTCTATCAAATTATTTTATTTGGTTTGTAAAAGTATTTTCTTTTCTGATTAAAAAAATCATTGCAACAAGTGAAAAACTAGAAAAAAAAAACAAGAGATTTGTCATGGAAACCTCCTCAAGAATCCGGTGTTAAGCTCCAACCATATGCATTAGATTGTAGAAATTTTATGTCATGGAGTAACCTGTTTATGGATGAGAAACAAGGTAGAAAGAACTGCAAAATGTTTTTCCTCTTTGAATTGTTATAAAAGGCAGAGTTTTGCTATACAAATGAATATGTGGTATTGTATTTCCTGCCAGTTAATCTGTCAATGTTTCGACCTTAATGCTTTTAAATCTTCTCAATTACTCTGGGAGGATCTTCTGATATGATGCCGCATTACTCCCTATATGTATTTTGAGAATCCTTCTTTAGGTTAGAATCACTTCATTCTAATGTGCTTATCAGTTTTTGCCCTTAATTGTATCCCATCTTTTTTATCATAATTGAATTGAAGTGTAAGCATTATGCAATGATTTATGTTCACATAATTTGCTCAAATATATATTCTCAACATCCTTTTGTTTTCTGCTCAGCATGAAGCTATGTGATTGTTGAATACTAGATCTTTGAGCAACATATAACTTTTCCTTATACACTTGTATTTTTAGGAAATCGTTGGTATGGAAACGGACCATGGAATTCTTCGTATAAAAGTAAGTAATTCTCTACATACCCACTGTATTATATCATTTTCATTTGCACCTTTTTACCCTTGTTATTTTACATCTGGTATGCCAGATATGTTTTTCATTTTTATGTTGTTTCTATCATGTAATTCTTAATGTTAAATCTAACAAACAAACGAGACACGTCCAATGTGTTTGAAAAAATAGAAGTCATCTAGCTCTTATTAAATTGCTTCTCTTTATGTATTAATGTGTGTGAAGGGGAGGGACCGATAGATGGCATACATGTTTTGGTTTATTAGTATTGTTTTTTGTATCATTTAGTCATTTTACAGATGGACTAGGAGAAGTTTGACTATGCATAAGAAGTTTGTTAATTGGCTTGCTAAGAGAGAGAAATAAGGAAAAGAATGGGAAAGGAGCATCTCTAAAAGCTAAATTTAACTTGCAATAGAGAATAAAAATTTAGGAAAATTATATGAAGTAGCTTCTACAAATTAGCTTTTGCATAAGTTAGTTTTAACTCTTAGAAAATCTCATTTAATTTTTTTTTCTCTCGTACTTATCTTTGTGGAGAGATGCTTGTTCAAATGTACCTGGAGATAAAGAGAACATAGATTTTTACACTTTGTTTAGAATTTCTAGTAACTGCACCTATTTTTGACTTTTTTCCAAAGCAGTATCTAATCACATGCTTTTCACATGCTGATTATTTTTCAGCTTGAATCATTCATCTATTATCTACTTGGTCTGATTATTTTTGTGAAGCTTTGCATAAGTTGCAGCTGATAGCATCAGCCAAAGGTTTGGAAAAAGCTGATAGCATAAGTTGCATATTTTGTGAACAGATTATGTAAAGCAGGCTATTGGAAAAAAATAACTTTGAGCAGATTATGTACATATGTGACTTTTTTGAGTGATTTAGGTTCAGAGACATTTGAAAAGGTAGTTCTTTTAATGCATACAAGCTTGGAATACAGGATTATCTAGTTCCAAGGAAGATGGCTTGTTACTAGGGTTGATGCTAAGTGCACTTGTCGACCAGTGTTTAAGTCAAGTTCAATATTAAAAATGCAATTTTGGATAGCGCAGTGAGTGATTTCTGTGTTGACATATTCTGTACCAAGTAGTAGGTGTAGCTTGAAGATGTTGCACTTGCACATACTGTCATCCAGCCTTATACTTTTAGTTTAGAGTGTCACTGGATAGGAGGGGGAAGGATTTTTTAATTTTGAACTCTGCTTCAACTTTTGCCCTTATTTGATGAAGATTCTGTCTTCTCTGAGCCTTAATCATGTTGCTAGCCTTCTAGTAAAATGCAAAGTTATATCATGACCAATATCTAGATATAATGGCTTGACTTTCTACAGATATATGTATCTGGGACAGTCTAATGCTCTCCTAGTTATGCGATAGATAGATTGAGAGGAGGAAACTGAAAAAAATGTGTTCTAAACTTTCATTGCCACAGCTTTTACCCGAATGCGCACCAAATTCTGTCTTCTACATTCTTGAGCTCTTGGCACTGCCTCACTGTATTGGTTGTCAGATTCATAGAGCTGAAAGCCGAGGAAGCTTTTGGGATTCAAAAGGAAATCACATAAAAAGGGTAAGATTTATTATGTTAATAACTATAGAAAATTGTGCATAAGTTCTGCATAGATTTGCTGCTTGTTTTAATCAATTTCCTTGTGAATGAATTGATTTTGGTTGACAATGTATCTGCTCATCTGCTCATCACATGACTGGTTGCTGTATTTTTATACTGCCTGCAAATGTTACTTAAATGATTTTTTTTTCCTTTTCGGGATTCTTTATAGCAATATTTCGTGGTAATTATATTTGACTTGGTTACACTCTGTTCTTCTGCATTTTATTCATGGTTAACTCAACTTTTTGTGGCCCTCTGCTTCTTCTATCGGCCATTTAAAGGAAAAAAAAAAGAGAGGATAAATCAAGTAGTGGATCCATTTGTGTTTAATACTGGTTCTATCCTATACCTGCATCTGCTTAATTTTTATCCTAGCTTTCTTGTTTTGAAGTAGTTGAAGTTTCTTCCTGAATGGTGGAAACTTGTCCTCTGCTGGCTGCTTTGTTCTTAAATTTAATTTCTGTACAACTTACCTCCAGATTATTGATTATTGACAACCCCCTTATTTTTGTGTTTTTGAATTTGAATGTTGATGTAGACTCCATATGGTCCTCCTTTTGCACTTATTCAAGGAACATTGGAATCCCATGGGTCTATTTTCAAGGATATTCCAAAAGAGTACTGCCCTACCGTAAGAAGAGGATCTGTAGCATGGGTTGGTTCTGGTCCAGAATTCTTCATCAGCCTTGCGGATCACGAGGAATGGAGAAATCCATACACCGTTTTTGGCTATGTTCTATCTGAGGATATGGAAGTCTTAGAGAAAATTTCTCAGCTTCCAACTAAATCTGAAATCTGGAATAGCATTAAGATCTCTATCTTGGAGAACCCAGTTTCATTACGTTTTCGAAGAATGAACACAAAGTCTTGAATCCTCAGTTTCATTGATTTGTTCTTTCAAAATTTTCCTTATTTGTTAAGTGATAAGGGGTTCAATACGGATCTTGGGCTCAAGTTGCTTTCAGCCATTCTAGCTGATTGCAAATCAAATGGAGTAGAGTGAGTGAGTATACAAGTTTTATAGGTATGTCTGTGGATATTTCGTGCTTCTGTTATTTCATATTTCCTTGCACATAACTTAGTGTAGAAGAAAGGGCAGCATCATTCTCATCATCGTAGACAACAAAAACATACTGGAAATGGGATTATGTCCCAAGATACTAGCTGATGACACCCATTTGCAGGCATTATTGTGTGCTACAAAACTAGTGAACATTTCTTCATTCACCATCAGATTAGGTGGACCCATAGAACAGAATAATTGACTCATTGTATTGAAGTTTGTGCCTTGCACTTCTTGCCTTTCATCACACAAAAATATTTTTTGAAGTTTTAGTATTTTCTCTTGTTAGGTAATATTTTGTACATTTCTGGAAGGAACTTCAATTTTTGACATATCAACGTGGCAAGTTGCTTCATATAAATAAGATATTGACAAATATTGGACCATTTATCTATCCTGATAACTTCTAATATAGTCCAAAAGCTTGCAGTTTTCATGTGTATGTAACTTTCTGGGAACCTAGAAAATCAATCTATTTAAATTAACAATTACTGGTTCAAGTGGTAAGACTATGCAATAGTAAGCTGATAAAATCAATATAATTATATGAGAAGAATAAAAAAGCGTTCCTTTAGAAAGAGTCAAAAGGGAATATCATAGTTGACAAAACAGGATACAGTAGACCGTCACAGAAGGAGTGAATTTAACTCTTACATTCTGTAACAATTTTGGAGAGAGACAGAAGGTTTTAAGTGTGATTATGTCTGTTTGAAAGCTCGAATTACGTTGTGGTTAAAAGGAACTTCAATGATAACAACCCGTGAGCCAATTTTATTTTTTAATTTAAATTTAATTAAACTCAAGATGATATTAAAGACCATTAAAAAAAACAATAGAATCCAAAATCATTATAAATTTTAAATACAATCTAAAAACAAACATAAAAAATAAAATTAAGTGAGTGTACAAGATTCTTAATAAATAAAATTAAGCGAGTGAACCAAATTCTTAATAAATTAGACTTAAAATTAATCGCTGTGAAAATTTTAACTTTTTTTATTAATCTAATCCGATTCAATTCGTAATGAACTAGACTCTCAAATTTCAACTCGATAAGTACTCTTATTTTTGAATAATCAGTATTTTTCTTTAGTATTTTTACTTTAAATATTTTTTAAACAAATTTAGAAAAGAACCAGTTTAAAATAAATTTAACCAAAATAATTACATAATAACCTTTAAATTAAACGAATTATTCGAGTAACAAATGTTTGTTTGATTGTAGGATAGATTTCGGTATAGTATCAGCAATTATCAATACTTTAATTGCAAGTTAATTTTGTAATACTTTTAGAAATATAAAATAAAATGTTGAAATATTAGAAAAAAACGAAAGCTTAATTTGTATTAGTATAGAAAAGGAAATAAGTAGGAATTTAGGTAAAAGATGATGAAGGTTTATGGTGGGTAGGATTGGGGAATCTTAGGTTTTTACAGAGGGTGATTTTAGGGGTAACCCAGTGTAAGAAAAAATGAGTTGATAATTTTAGAAAATAAAAAGTTGATAATAAGAATTAATGAAGAAAGATGAGAGGAGAGGAGTAGAGTGAAGGGAGAAAGAAGGAGGTATAGTGGTAGTAGTGCAGTGGTAGTAGTAGAAGTGAGTGCTGGGTCAAGAAGGCATTAAAAATGTTGGGAAAAGCACACAGCCCACCCTTGGCGGTGGGTAACTTTAATAACACCCACCAAGTGCCCACCCCACAAACAGCTAATTTTGATGATAAGGGAAAGGGAATTGGTCATGGCCAAAGTCAGAGGTGGACCTCTCTCCCCCGCGGCGCACGTTAGCCCCTCTCCATCTCTCCCAAGCGGTGGTGGCCTCCTCATCCACCCACGTCACAAATTCAGCCGCACATCCCTCCCCACTTTAACAACAACCATGCTCCTTTCCCTCCACCACACCCAACAACAACAACAACAACAACAACCCAAACAACCTTTTCACTCTCTTCTCCTCTTCCCCTCCTTATCCTCCGCCCCTCTCCTCCCTATCCTTCACCCTCCCCCTTAACCTAAAAACACTACCTTTCTTCCCATGGCCTCCCCTTCTTCCCCCACTGATTCCAACCCCCCCTCCGCCCTCCCCCTCACTCTCGCCGCCCCTCCCTCCACCTCTTCCCGCCGTCTCCCCCCGCCATGCTGGACCCCAGAGGAAACCTCCGCCCTCATCGACGCCTACCGCGACAAGTGGTACTCCCTCGGCCGCACCAACCTCAAAGCCACCCACTGGCAAGAGGTCGCCGATGCCGTCACTGCCCAGTGCCCCAACGCTTCCCCCACTGCCAAAACCGCCGTCCAGTGCCGCCACAAGATGGAAAAACTCCGCAAACGCTACCGCACCGAAATCCAACGACTCCGCTCCCTCCCTCTCCCTCGCCTCATCAACAACTCCTCCACCGCTTCCCCCTCCTCCTGGGTTCACTTCAAATCCATGGATTCCATGGAAAAAGGCCCCAACAAACCCCACGCCGACACCACCACCGCCACCAACCCCAACACCCCCACCAACAACCTCAATTTCCCCGACGACGACAACGACGACGACGATCTGTACGAGGAATTCAAGAACGCCCCCGGATCCAACACGCGCAGCCTCAATAAACTCTACAAGAACGGTTTCGGATCCGGATCCGCCTCCGGGTTCCGGATCCGGATCCCGGCGGGGGTGCCAAACCACACCTCTTCGAAATTCTTCAACGCGCCTCCTCCCGGCATGGTGCCGCGCAACGGCGCGAAGAGGGAGCGTGAGAGCGACGCGGTGGCCGAGATGGTGGGCGCGATAAAGGTGTTGCGTGACGGGTTCGTGAGGATGGAGCAGATGAAGATGGAGATGGCGAGGGAGATTGAGAGCATGCGAATGGAGATGGAGATGAAGCGCACGGAGATGATCCTGGACTCTCAGCAGCGGATCGTTGAGGCTTTCGCCAGGGCCGTTTCACAAAAGAGGAGCAAGGGCAAGTCCACGCCTTCTCCCTCGTCGCAACCCTGATTATGAATATTGGGTGCTTTATGCCTCTAAGGTGTTTGATTAATCGTGATTAGTATGTTCTCTTTCTGTTTTAGGTAGGTTCATATTTCTATACTCTTCTCCTGCAACTTTTGCTCTTGTCTGGGATCTGTTTATTCATGTTCAATACTCTAGGCTCGGTCAATATGCTTTTAAGCCTTTCATCTCCTTAAGTCTATTTCTCTGTCTCTTTACAAATTTCCTCCTCGTACTTTTCTTTCATTACCTCTAACTCTCTCTACTTTTTCATTATTCTAATTACCTTCTTAGCTCCCCTTATGTTTATATAATATTTTCTCTTTCAAGAACATTTTTCTGTTTGTAAGACCAAAACCATTGCCTTGACTGAAGCTAAAGTTGCACATAGGCTCTAAAAATACAATTCAGGTTGTAGTAAATTATGTGGGTGCCTTGTGTTTAAAAGAAAATTGTTCAACTGGAGACAAAACTGAAGGAATTTGGCAGAGGATTTTGAAGCATTTATAATGAGTTAAGATGGAGATTGAACTGAAAATACATGAATCTCTTTTCATGTTTCATGTGTCTTGATCAGATTAAACTGGACGACAAAAAAAAAAATACAAACATATTATAAACTTAGGATAACTTCAAAATGCGCAAAAATTTTATTTACGGGTTATCTTTCCTTTAACCCAAGTATAAGCATTTCCTCAGAAATGGTTTCAGTAATAACATCAAAATAGTCTTGTTATTGTACGAAAAAACATGTTGAGAGAAAAGGTGCTCTGAATGCTCAGAGATCTTGTCAGCCAAAAGAGTATCAGATAAAAAAGGATTGTCATGCGTGAGATCTTTACTGGTAAAACCTTCATAGTTGCTGACTTTTTACTGGGCGATCCTTCTATACCCTTTTAAAGTAAGGGCCTTTAAAGTAAGGAGTTTTGATGTGGATTAATTAAATTGTTGTGTGTAATAATTTCATCCACACTTTCAAAGATCGCAGAGTCTCTGGTCATTGGTGGTTCGTGACAGTGGAGGATGCAACGGTGTTGCAGTAGCAGCAGTGAATTGGAAACTCTGCTTTCTCATGAGAAAGAGATTCACCATTGATTCGTGAATGTGAAGGAATTCCGCGATCCATTATCTTTCAACTAAAGAAATGTCACGTCATCTAACAAATTGAATCCACTTATAAAAGTATCAAAACCCTTCTTTTTAAAAGGCACCACACTCTCAGCTATTTTATATTTGTATATCTTCTCTTTTTAAGGTTTTAAACAGCTCTTTTTCATAGTTAAAAGTCGTAGTTAAAGATTAGTTCAGAGAAGAAGAACATTTGTTTCTCAAACTCAAGATAATATAAAGATAGCAGAGTTTGTAAAGGAGTCGACATGGATAAAACTCCAAGTATTCTCTTGCCTCCATTAGTACACTTGCAACACTTGTACAAGAACCAGTCTTTAGTTAATTTTTTTGTTATTTTATACATGTTTTTGAAATACTTTTTAACCATCAAATGATCATCCTTTGGGGAACATTTTTCTTAACTATCAAACGAATCTCCTCTTCCACCTGAGAAATTTTGGAAGTTTTAAAAAGATGTTTTTTTCTTTCTTCTTAAATTTGGTATCTTTATTTTTGAAACATTCAATTTCATCTTTCAATTTTCCGTGTTGTTCTTCCATCTAACTTTACTAATGTTAGCAGTGTTTTAGGAAGAAGAAACACATCAACTGAAATATTTCTTTCATAAAATAGATAACCAAATTAAATATTTTAAAAGTAAATGTTCAAAGAAACTGAATTGAATCGTGTAAATAAGAAGAGAAACTAAAGAAACATTTTAGCCTTTTAATAAGGATCAAGTATATTTTCCAATAGAGTGTTTCCACATCATCCATGAATAATATAACTTTAGCCAAAAATCTAAAATGATTTTATAGGGATTAAAATCTTAAATGGATTATAATATGTAGTAAGAAATCTATTATAGAAATATATTATCTGATGTAAATAATTTATAATGAATGATGACTGAGAATGTTTTATTATCATATTATTTAGCTCTTATTTTATTATAATATTACAATAGAAAATTATATTAGACAACCTTTGTGAAAAAGAAACACCTATTTAAGAACTTTGTTTTAATATATATATATATATATATATATATATATATATATATATATTAATCTTTAATTTAAAACATAAGAAAACATCAATATAATTTGTTCTCAAATGATTGTTTTATTATTAATATAAGATTTGAAGATATCAATACTATATTACAATTCAATAAAAAAAAACATAAAAGAATTTAATTAGCAGAACTTTGGGATAGACAAAAACATTAGAAAAGAAGTAACTCTTGGTTAAAATTTGAATGTTTTCTGGTATGGATGTAGCTACTTTTTGGCAACAATACCTAGCCAAATCCAGAAATCTTACCGTGTATATAGTAAGGGTCCAAAATCAAGAGGGAAATTAAATCTGGACTCCGGTAAAAGAGTGTTGGGTGTTGCTCCCTCCAACATCACCCCTTGCTCCCTCCATCACCCCATTTCTATTTTACCTTTCTTTTTATTTTTCCATTCCTATTTTATCTTTAGTAGAATTTTAGGGTTAATATCTTTTAACCTCTACCCACTCCAATCATCTACATGTATGCAGTGACAACACTTCTTTCTCTTTATCGTTCGTCCTCTTATTGTTTCATTATGCTCTTCTTCCTTTTTTTCACGTTTCACTTCTTTCTCTCATTCTTTAATTGTGATAGAATTGTAGTCTCAGAGTGTGGTGAACTTTCATTAGCTGATGTGCTTAGTGAGAGATTGCAAGTAGTTGTGGAAGCAATTGATCAGTCGTGCCAAGATCGCTGTGTGGTGGTGGTGTGGTGCTTGAAGGATTCGTCGTGAAGATGCATAATAAACCCTAAAAAAATAAACGTATAATCTTTAAACGGATGTGAGCATTCCTCAGCGGATGTCAACATGATATCCGTTTTCCCTTAAACGGATGTTGACATCCGTTGACGGATGCTCACATCCGTTTAAGGAAAAATAGATGTCGATATCCGTTTTGCCTTAAACGAATGTTGATATCCGTTGACGAATGCTCACATCCGTTTAAAGTTACATGTTTATTTTTATTTATTTTTTTATATTTATTTTGGAGATATTTTAATAATGTAATTTATATATTTTGATGTATTCTTTTTTAATATATTTTTGATGTATTTTAATAATGTATTTTTGAAGATCTTTATTGGTATTAGTTTATATTTTTTTTTTGTATTTTACAGTTATATATAATTAGTTTTTTGTTTTAATGTTTTTGTATAATATATATTTTTATATATGGTTTTTGTATTCTTTAGCAATTTTATAATTATATAAAAATTATTTATTAGTTTAATTATATGAAATAAATAATTTTATTATATTAATATTTTTGTATTTAAAACAAATGGATGTGGTAGAGTTGGGGAGTGGGAAGAGAGAGAAGGAGAGTTGAGAGGTGAAGCCGAGTAAAAAGTAAAAATGGGTAGAAAAATATAGTTTGAGTTTAAAGTAAATAAATATGGTTAAAAGTAAAAAATGTTATTTTTGTAATTAAATTTTTTTTTAGAAGGTTGGGGAAGTGGAGGGAGAAGTGGTGGTGGTGGAAGGAGCAACACCTAAGAGTGTTTTATCCTTCACCTCCAACATTTTATCCTGGATCTCTAATTTTTTCAAAAATTTCTTTTCAACACTAGTAAATATTTTTTTTACTTTTTCTTTCTATTTAAAATAATCCTAGTCCTACACATCTTTAACTATGCACCATTTTAACAAAATTTTTAAAACTTTATCTTTCATTTATAATTTAATAACTATTTAATTAATTTAAAAATTTAATATTTTTTCATATTTTAATAATTATTAAAATATAATTTGTATTATTATAATAATTATATTACAAAAATTAAAAATAAAATAATTAAAATAAAAGTAATAAAAACAAAAATAATTATATAAAATCTGATTTAATATATATAAATATATTAAACTAATAAAATAGAATTTCAAATTTTTAGATTCTTAATTATTATTATTATTATTCATTTAATATTTTCAATATTACTACTATAATAATACAAAATAATATTTTAATAGTTATTTAAATTTAAAATATATTAAATAATATTATAATTTCTAATTAAATTAAATAAGTAATAAAATATAAATAGAAAACAAATTTTTAGTGTCACAAATCCGAGTTATCGGATACCAATGTTCGTCGGTAACTTTTTTTCAAATTTTAATTTTTATTTAAAATTTATTAATAAATTAATTGTTTATATAATAATGATATTACAAAATTAAAATTAAAATAAAAAGAAATAAAAATAAAAATAATTTTATAAATTCTGATTTAATATATATAATTATATTAAATTATATTAAAATATTAAATTAATAAAATAGGATTTTAAAATTTTAAGATTTCTTAATCATTATTATTTTATTTTTAATATTACTATAGTAATATAAATTATATTTTAATAATTATTTAAATATAAAATATATTAAATAATACATATTTTTTAAATTAAATTAAATAATTAAAAAGGTATAAATAAAAAACAAATTTTTAAAACTTTTAAGTCGGAATTGGAAACCGATAACATAGTTATCCGATATATCCGATGACATTTTTAAAATTTTATTTTTTATTTTAAATTTAATAATAATTTAATTTTTCATATAATAATTATATTAAAAAATTAAATTAAAATAACTGAAATAAAAGTAATAAAAATAAAGATAATTATGTAAAATCTGATTTAATATATAAATATATTAAATTATATTAAAATATTAAATTAATAAAATAAGGTTTCAAAACTTTTAGATTTCTTAATTATTATTATTTTTATTTTAATTTTTTTAATATTATTACTATAATAATATAAACTATATTTTAATAGTTATTTAAATATAAAGTATATTAAATAATATTAAATTTTTAAATTAAATTAAATAATTAATAAAGTATAAATAAGAAACAAATTTTTTGTGTCGGAAATAGAAATATGATAATATAGATACTAGTATCCTATGACTTTTTTAAAATTTTATTTTCTATTTAAAATTTTATAATAATTTAATTTAAATAAAATTATATTTTTAATAATTATTAAAATATGAAAAGATATTAAATA